GAGCCTGCTAAAGAGAAGGGGTCGTATTTTCAGGCTGGTGCAAAGTGGCAGAGCTTCCTGAAACTCAAGAGCTAAAAGGGCTGGGTGCAGGTGAGTGCTTGGCCCAAAGTGTGAAGGGTTAAGGGATGTGCTGTAGTTTGCAGGGAGACAAACACGACAGGCGTTTAATACAGGTAGGAGTAACCGCATGCTGGCACTGTCCCTTTAAAGCAGCGGTATTGCATTATGCAAGTCCTGTTTTCAGTCCTTCTCTGTCTGCACTAGTGAACGTGCACAGATGAGACCGGGCAGCGTGTCACACTACAAAGGCTTGGTTCTGGGAATGGAGGAAAGGGGACCAGGCTCAGCAAATGTGCATTTATTGAATCCAGCCCTGCTGCGGGGCGTCCTCTCAAAACACAACCCTCTAAAGCAGACCCTGCCCACTGGACCCATTGCATGAGATGAAGGAGATGCAGAGATTTGGAGAGGAGCAGTTCTAGCATGCAGTCCTTGACCTCCCAGGTCAACAGGGAGTATTGCATGCTCAATTTCCCTCCGCTGGCCAGTCCCTCGGCAACAAAGGGGGGCTGAACTCTGTGCTGTGCCCCGTGGGGTTGCATGCTTCCAAAGCTGCACGTTCACCAGCCTCACTAGTGAAATACAGCGTATTTCCACTCTGCTCAGTCTGTCATAACTGAACAAGTATAGGCAGGATGGGGAGGAACAACAGAGATCCATGTGTCAGGGTGTTTTTCATAGAATCAAACAAAATGAGGGCTGGAAGGGAGCTCAGGAGGTCACATCTAGTCCACCCCCCTGCTCAAAGCAGGACTAGCCCCAACTACATCATCCCAGCCAGGGCTTTGTGTAGCCGGGTATAAACGCCTCCAAGGATGGAGACTCCACCACCTCTTTGGGGAGCCTGTTTCAGTGCTTCACCACCCTCCTCATGAGAGAGTTTTTCCTAATATCCAACCTCAACTTCCCTTGCTGCAACTGGAGCCCATTGCTCCTTGTCCCATCATCTGCCCCCACTGAGAACAGCCCAGCTCCATCCTCTTTGCAACCCCCATGCAGGGAGGTGAAGGCTACTATCAAATCCCCTCTCAGTCTTCTCTTCTGCAGACTCAATCAGCCCAGTTCACTCAGCCTCTCCTCCTAAATCATGTTCCCCATCCCTAAGCCTCCATCGGAGGCATTGGGCATTGCCTGCAGCCAAGGTTGGGGATTTTGATTGGGATGTGCCAATGCTC